CTCATAATTCTTGAAATTTAATTCTTTTGTATTGTTAGTTTTAATGATGTATTAATAAACTGATTACAAACAAAAAGAACAATTTATTTATACATCTCATGCCAGACAGAACTAAGTGCTAAAAAGTTTGCCAACGTGAACCATGTACTGCAAATGCTGACAAAACAGCTTTAAAAGTAGACAAAATCATGTGCTGTTACTAAAAGTCTTAAAGAAATGTTCTTTTGAATAGTCTTAGAACCTTTTATATCCTATAAGAGATTATAACATATTGCGTATATTTTATAACACCTTCATAACTTTAAACTGTGTACTGAAAATTTTCAATTTCGGCTTTTGGTTCACTCTGGCATGAGACCATCCAATTTTTAGTGTTTAGTCGTGACCCACATACCGATGCAAAGCTTCAATTAAACGGAGTCCAAGTTAAAAAATTTTACAAAATGACATATTTGGGAACTGTGATTACGGACCGACTAGATCCAGACATAGAAATAAAACGTAGAATAGCATTGAATAAAACTACTTTTATAAAAATGAAATCGTTTATTTGCAATAATCATATCAGTTTAGAACGAGACAAAGAATGGTTAAGTGTTATGTTTGGTCCGTATTTTTGTATAGTGCAAAAGTGTGGATGATTATAAACAAAATTGAAGCATCGGAAATGTGAGTTCATATATGAATTCTGAAGATACCTTGGACAGCAAGGAAGACTAATGAAGAAGTACTAAGGAGCGTCAACAAAGATAGAGAACTACTAAAGACTGTTAAACATCGAAAAATGTCTTATCTGGGACATATAGTAAGGGAAAGTCGATATAAAATATTACAACTAATCCTTAAAGGCAAAATAGAGCGCGGTAGAGGTGTAGGAAGAAAACGGGTTTCTTGGTTGAGGAACATTCGTGAATGGACCCGGATATCAAATGCGGGACAATTATTAGATATTGCAGAAGAACAAGAAGCCTTCGCAATGGTGATCGCCAACGTCGGTTAATTCTGATATGGCACGCGAAGAAGAAAATATAATTAAAATACCCAATCGAGCTACATCAAAGAACGTTTTTGGACTTAATAGTTGTTGTATTGTGTACTTATAAAAAACGTTCTATTATAGTGTAATTAAAACAAAACAGTTTTAAACGTTTTAGATCGTTTATAGTGTAAAAGTTACATTCAGCGTTTTTTAAGCATATTTCAAATTTATTGCCAAAACTCAAAAGCAAAATTTCATGTAAGGAACATTACATAGTGGCATGTCAATAAAAATTATAAATTTTATTGATCTCATGAGAAACATAAAAAATGGCAAAAATCGTGTCACGTTTATTTATTTAATACCTTTGTAAAAATTGACTTCACTTGCGGCAAAACACAAAAGCTGCACTCTTTATCTGTAACATACATTTTGATTTTTGTTATTAATATCGAATTGTTACCGTCGAACTGATATAAATGTTATTGAATATTGATTTTGCGAGTGCAATTGACATTTAAAATCGCCGGTCGCTTCAAGCCTTGTTTCTGCGAGAATGGTTAATTCTACACAAAAAGTGCTAATAAATATTTGTGTTTAAAATAGCCACAGCTACATAGGTTTTCGGTTAAGTCCGGGGATAAAAGTGGTAAACTTTTTTACATTTTTTTGTACGTAGGATTCTTGGAAATTTAGTGGCATTTTCGTCTCTGACGTCTGTAGTAAGAGTTAAGCAGGTTAGACAAAGTGGAAGTAAGTACCGACTGGACAATTTCCGCTACGACTGATTTAAAACTTTATTGATTTACATGAAATTTTGACAGAGGTCGTAAAATAACTCATTTAATGTCGATAAGTGCTTTTAGTCTGCGGCTTTTTTGAGGTGTAAATTTAAGACGACAAAATATTGTCAAAAATCGGTAGAAGAAAAAACTAGGAAAACCATGGACGTATAAACACAGATGGACACAGCAATAAGATACCTTTAACACACAATGTTTTGAAGCTTCGATAGAATGTGATGCTTCCTCAATGAGCATAAGCCTGCTTCAATTTTTACTTGCGGAGATAATTATTCAGAGAATTTATAGAAAAATTAAATATACAATTCTATTTGCTTTAAAATTAATACAATAAAATATAGTTGAATTTAAATTAATTTTTTAATAGGTATCAAAATAATGCTACAATAAAAAATCTTTATGTTTTCTCCTAAATTTGCTACCCAAATAGTTCGATCGTCAATATTATTTGGAAACCTACATAGAAAAATAAATGAGTTTTATTTGTTTTACTAATTTATTTGCATCCATGAGAAATATTAAATTAAAAAGGTACTAAACAGATCTTTTTTAATCAGATGATGTCTACTTATAGTTTAAAATTTGTACTACTTTCATAAACTCATATCTTATTGAATACATTATTAAACATGAATAAACTCAATGGTACGCCTATCAAAATGTAAACAAACACGCTTCCTCAGTTCCTTATCTTAAATAATGTAAATAGACAGTATTTTCCTTTTCAGAGCCTTCTTTCAGTGCGTCACAGTTTTTCGATTTCTTTTTAACGCATTAAGTTGGATGTGATGAAAACGGCAGTTCCGTGATTAAAATTGAAAATGAATTGAAATGCGCGCTTTCTCAGTTACGCGAGTCACAGAAAATCAGTTACGCGAGTCAGGAACATTGGATGTAAAACTTCATTCATTTGGCCATCCTTTCGAAGTGTCGAAGAGTGAAGTGATCTTGTCGGTTCAGGTCAGTATTTGACATTATTTAATAGCGTTGTTATGCATTATTTGTGTTTATATTTTTATTTTGATTTGGTTTTCATTAAATATTTTTAAAATGCCAAGATTTACGGAAAAGGAACAAGTTCTGTTCCTTAAAGTACGTAAATATTTTGAATTAGAAAAAGAAGCTGGGCAAACTTTATTACCAATTTATGCTGTTCGTGAAGTAAGTTTAAAGTTACACTGAAAATAAAATTGTTTTATTTTTACCTACTGTTTATTTCAGCGTGTTGCTGAGGCGTTAGGAATTTCTTTGCCAACAGTAAGACGATTGGCAAATGAAGGTACCCAAAAAGATTCTGATTATTCAATACAATGAGCCAATCAGTAGCCACGAGTCGTAAACTGACATTATTAATAAATAAATACGAACATGCCATCAGGATGTCTGTATAAAGGATGTTTAGTAAAGGTTCGAGCATTACAACAGTTTAGTTAAAATATTTTACCATACTTCTAATAGAAAGGCAGGAGTAACTAATTTCCATAGACTTTTCTTTTAATAAATTGTTACTGACAACTAGTTACATATATACAACATATAAAAATGAAAAGTGATTATAAAAAAGAATACAACTGAATTAAATACCAAATATTTAAATAAAGATTTAAGAGTTCTCTTTGCCTTTTTGCTGGAGTAGTTGTGCAGTTTGGTAAAATATATAGATATATTTTTATAACTCTTGTACTTTAGATTACTTAAATATTGTTATTACGATTTATGAAAGAAGTACTGTTGCATATAGCATTTAATAGACAAATTCCTAATATCAAAACTAACGTGTTACTTTACATTCTTAATATTTTTCCTAGACGAATCACTATAGTGTCTTTAAACTTTGATCGTTTTAGGTGGAGCATGTGACTCTCCATACCCTGAAGCAAAAACTAGAGGAAGTGGATGGGATTAACATTTCTATTGCTGCACTTAGCAGAGTTTTAAATGAATTAAAATTTAGATGGTAAATTGTAGTGTTGCTAAACAGAAAATATTTAATGGAACAACCACATGTGACTTTAAAATGACTTCAGTTCTTAAAAGCCTATAAGGACAATGAAGCAATGTATACCCTTTAAAAACCAGTTTTCTTGGATGAGACCTGGATATTCAGCAAAGGAGGATTTCCGCAAGAGCTAGCAAGGATGGCAGTGTTAATTAGGCATCAGTGAATAAATTGTTTTTATAATTTGAAATTATATTCTATTTTTGTAATTAATTTATAAATTACCTAAAAACATCTTTCAAAACAGTATTTTTTTATTTATAAATTTAATAAACAATATTGTTTACTATTATTTAATCCACTTGCAATAAAGTAAGTACGGTTCTGGCATCTGTCAGAATTCTCAATAATTACATGAAATTAATACTCGACACATTCAATACAGTCTATGACGTCACAATTAATGACGCACTGCAAAAAGCTCTAAGAATGACTATACTTACAAATGAAATGAGAGATCGGGATGTAAATATTTCGTTTATTTTATTTCACTTTTCACAAATATCACTCAAAATACAGCCAAAATATCGAAAAAACAACTTTTCCTCATCTACTGTAAAAAGTAAACAAACATGGAACAGCATTTGAAGTTTGACGTAGAGCCATAAGAGAGAGAAATGTAAACACCGTTGCCATTTATAAATAGCTTTCAGTGCTTCTACATATAAATATAATTTATTGATATCTATTATACGCCTATTATTAAATAATAATGCACACTATGTGCACACTTGATATTTTGATTACAATTAAATATATTAATATAACCAATAAATTATTATTGTGGTTTGATAGCACCTGTAGAATATAAAATAAGGAGTAATATTTTCAACGACTCGCGAATAAGAAATTTTAATAAAAAAACGTGACAACAGTTAAAGGTGCTGAGAATGTGACCTATTCAAATAATTTTGACTTTACAATTTTATGTAAATAACTGAGTCCATCTGTGTTTATACGTCCATGAGGAAAACCGAAAATAACATGGTTTGATGGGGTCCAAAAAGCTATGTCAGAGAGATCTACGACCAGCAGTCTGGTCCGATAGAAGGAAATGAAGAATGGGACCGGAAGGTGTAGCGTGCTATAAACCAGACATTTTATATAGTATTGGAAAAATATAAATTAAACAATCCCTGCAGTGTAATATATGCAAAGATAATGATGATCATTGTAAAATATATTTTAAAACAAGATCAAATTTATAGTTTACACTTACTCAGTAATGTCTATAGGTTTTACAGGATCATCAGACTGAACACTGCAAATGCAGATCGTTACAAAGATAAGTAAATAAAGCTTCATCTTGTTCGTTTTTAAACAAAGATATCTACTTTGGTAAAATTTTGGGTCTTTTTATACTTTAATGTTGTAATATTATGACATTAAAATAAAAAAACAATGAACAATGCATAATACTTTTAATAGGATAATTAAAATTAAAATTCAATATGACATATCTTAATTATGTTCCAGTATTGATCAAATCTTGTTAATTAATGAGCGAGAGGTCTTTATTAAATAATATGATTCATTTCTTCGCTTTAAAAAAACTTTAGTCATTATTATTATTATTATTATTATATTTATATAATCATTGTTATTTTTAAATCATAATTTTTTTCTTCAAAATATTTCCAATAAAATTCTTGTGGTGTTTTTTTTAACTGGACAGACAGATATAATATTTTAAGTAAGCAATAGCAAAGGAATAGCCATACAAACTGATTTTTTTAGCAAATTATCTGTTCACTTACCAAAACCATTATATCAAATTATCATTATCTGTTGGCAAATAAATATTTAAAAATTACTTTTCGGGATTTTCTAAAAATCTAGATTCATGCTACCGTGGAGCTATTTAAAATACCTTCAAATCATGTGGCTGGACATTTTTTGGTGATATGTTGGTTCAGCAGCATTCCATTTGATGTAGCATTTTCGTTTCACCCCGTGTATCAAATAACAACGAAAAATATTCTTAATCTTTCTGCGACTCTGAGAGACGTAAACTCTGGGTAATGTAAACATTTTCGAGTGTGCTTACAATTAACATATTGCTCTTGAGATTGATCTCTCTTCCGCCTATTAGATATTTACGCAGAAAATAAACAGAAATCTTTCCGTATACAGGGTGTCCAGACTAATTTACCCACGCTATATCTCTTAAATGAATAGAGATTTTCGAATGAGATGAAAAGTGAAAAAATTGTGAAAAAAAAAGTGAAAAAAATGCATATCTTAGTTACAACCCCTAACTTAAATTTTTTATTAGCACCCTTTACATTTTTTTTATAGTTTTGGATGAAGTCTTCTATCGTCTATTCAACCGATTTTTTTTTTAATAAAATTGGTTTGTAAGGTATTAAGAAAATATCAGTTTATTTTTTATTTTTGTTAAATTAATCATGTTAATCAATAATTTTGTTAATAATATCATTAACACCATCAACGCAGTGCAGTAGAGAGAACAACATTACCGCGGTATCAACGGGGGAAGAGGACATAAGTCATATATTTATATCCATAAGGATATATGTGAGCAATTGGATAAACAAATTGTTAATTTAAGAACTTATTTTTAGGCACAGGCTAAGACATCTAATTTACATCGAGCAATTTGCGCAGTAGATGATACAACGCCACTTAAACTGAGGGAACAAGAAATGCGCATAAACCACCTGACTCAGCAAGAAAAAATGCGCACCTGGATGAGTAAACATCTGCATGGGCGACATCTCATTGAGATATATTGACAACACAGCGTCGAACTAGTGGTTGACATCAGGAAAGATGTTTCCCGAGACTGAGGGTTTCCTACTTACCATTCATGATCAGGTAATTCCAACTAAAAATTACCTAAAATATATTGTTAAAGATCCTCAAGTCTAAAATGACAAATGCCGATATGGATGCCAAGCCAAGAAACCATCCAACGTCTCACCGGTAGCTGCCAGGCATTTGTCGGTACCGATTATAAAGAACGCTATGACTCAGTAGGAAAGATTATCCATCAAGAACTAGATGACAAACTGGAACTTCTCCAAACCGACCATCTTCCTTATTATCAATATTTCCCTGACATAATGCTTCAAAATGACAACTACAGTATATTGGGACCGCACTGTGCTCACAGGCCACACAGTGGCTCATAATAGATCTCATACTAGTGAATAGACTTACTAGGCAAACAACACTTATTGATGTGGCGATACCTAACACTAACAATTTGCGTGTTAAATACAACGAAAAGATCGACAAGTATAGAGATCTAAAAATACAAATCAAGAGACAATGGAGAATGGAAAGTACCCAGACAGTACCTATCGTTCTATCTACTACTGGTGTTATTCCCAAAAACCTACTAGCGAACATAAAACAGCTGGGTCTAAATGAACATCTTTATAAGGACATGCAAAAAGCTGTACTTCTCGCGACGTCCAGATGTGTACGAAAATTTTTGGGAGATACTCCAACATACCAAGTCACCTAGGGCTCGATAACACGGAAAGAGTCCCACTAGAGCTCAATCCTTTTGATACCGTAGGTATCTGGGATGAGTGAATTTTCCCCTTAGAGGAGTGTGAATCGTATGGCTAAATCTGGTAATTAATAATACACACTAATTTTGTTCCAAAAAAAAACAGATTTTATTAAATAGGTAAAAATATAAACCAAGAGGTTAAAAATTCAAAATATTAAAGTTCAAAAAGTGTCAACACTGCAACTGTCAAATAAGTGTTACCAATTTATGCCAAAATATCACTTTCTTTCGATTACAGTTACGGTGTGTTTCCAACAAATGTTCTTCATAAAAACGCTTAATAATGCATTTATACAAATTAAATGAAACATATTATTGTGTATTTCTTTAAGTTAACATTAATAGAAATCTTTAAATATTATTTCTACGCATACATAATAAAATATGTCTGGTGGCTGTAATGCCAGTGTACTCGGCAAAGTGATTCTAAAAAAGAACACACCTAACGCCTAAATATTTCGTGTTGGTATCACCTCACGAGTTATGACGCGGATGACGTGAAATGGTAAATAAATTAGATGGGTAATTAGAACGGTAAATATTTAAAAGTAAATTAGATGAGGTATATATTGTTTTTATCCAGGATAACCTGAGGCCTAGTTTTAGTATTCGTTAGCCTCCATTTTGTATTTCTCATGGGTCTGATTCAAATCGTTTGAAATTTGTATGGGACAGTGTTATTGTATTCAAACCTAAGGTAACAATTAATAATTTGAGAAGAAACATTCAGCTAGCGAAGCAAGTAGTTTTGTTAATTTTTTTTTCATTTAATATAAAAAGATTTGCTCTCATTTGAGTTTAAAGGTTTATTAATAAATATAAGTATTATGGATTAGCTAATTGTCATATTTTAGTTTTCTTTTAAATAAAATTAACCTTGATAATTAATTAATAATTCTAAAAAGTTAAGTAGTTTTATTTCGATATGTGATAGTTATTACACCTTTTCTGTCATTTGATACATAACCATACTTTTAAAGTATGATTTGTTAGATGGTTCAATGTAACATTTGTTGATAGACATAGTTTTAATTCTGTATTGTTAGAAGTTTTAATTCAATGTCAAGTTTGTTGATAAATTTAGATATTTTTATTTGTAGTAACCTTTCATGTGAAATAAAAATTAAAATGTATTTTTTTTTCTTTAAACTAGGAGGTTTACAATTATTACTTTTAAAACGATATTCACCATTCAAATATTTTAGGTAAGAAAAACTTTTCTCTCCAGACAGCAAGAGGAGCCTTTTAAATGGCGTCATAATATTAAATAGTTTGGAAATCTTCTTGTGCAGAATTGCCCAAAATATTTCTATAAGTACTTTTTGGCTACGTTTTTGTACTTCGTCCTCCCAGTCCTCCTCAAATAAAGCAATCCTTATGCACGACTTAGCTCTCCAACCAAAACACGAGTACCTATTCGCAAACGTTTCATTTTATTTGCTTAAGGCGAAAATACACCATTTAATTCTGTTGAACAATGTTGATGATTCAATTACATTGTTCAATCAATTTGAAACGCATACATATACACGTTTCAATTATTATTCCTTCAATTCTATTGAACAATGTGGATGATTCAATTAAAATGTTCAAATTAAATCGTGCAGGTCAGTGTTCTAATGATTTGTGAACATTTACTTGAAGTGTGTAAAAAAGATCTGAAAAATAAGCAGAAAAGACTACAAGGAAGACGGTGTTGGTGGACTAGACCATGGGTGATGCGGCGCTGTGAGAAAGGGACATCACAAACGTTAATACTGGAAATGGCAACGGAAGATCCAGAAGCTTATAGGAATCATATACGTATGTCCGAAAACCAATTTGAAGAACTTTATGACAAAGTTAAATTAAAAATTCAAAAACAAAATACCATTTTTTGAGGGAAGCACTTCCAACAAAATTAAAACTACAAATTACTTTGCGATATCTTGCAACGTGTAATTCCTTTGGAACATTGGAAGCTTTATACAGAGTACCAAGATGTACTATTGGAAGATTTGTGCCCGAAGTATGTAGAGCAATTTGGGAAGCACTGGAAGACTACATCAAGGTATGGAGTAGCTGAATAAATTATTTTATTAATATTTATTTATTAATATATACAGTAAGTACTTCATAATATTTATATTTGTATTGGTTTATATTGTATTTGTTGTTTGGTTTATAATTGAAGCCAAAGCTACCGACACTATATCCTCTCCTGTATAACAATAATTGCTTAAGTCTTGGGAAGTTTGAGGAGATAACACATCACATGCTGCATCTGTAGAATCTTCTTGCTTATAATTCATATTAGTTGCTGAAGTAGAGACATTAAAATTTGACGAGTGTGATGGACAATTATTAATTAATTATTGGCACATGATCTTCCAAACATTGTGTAATATACCTTTCAGCGTTTAAATTATCCCCTCGAAATGTAATCAGTTCGATATGGGATTCTAGAGAAATGCCTGCCTACATCATTATGCTACCTCCACCAAATTAAACTCTGGAAGTTAAAGAACATTGACGATAACGTTCACCAACTTGTTTCCAAATCTTAGGCCGCCCATCTAATGAGTATCTGCTAAATATTAATTTATTCGTGAAGACCACCGCACCCCATTCTTCAATCTTTTTCCAAATGTGACTATCTTCCACATATCTTCTATCTATCTATCTTCCACATATACGTCTACTTCCAGGGCTTCTCTTACTCGCTATCTTGCCTTGTAGAATCAGCTGTAGAAGTAGGTATTTACTATTATGGATGGTGTTGCCGAAGTAAGCCAATTTTCTGTTCTTT